CCCCAGGAGCAGCTGTGACTGTGAATTTTTCCTGAGGGCGTGGGCAGGACTGAAGTTCTTGAAGCGCTGCCATGCACCTTACAGGGAACCCTCGCTAGCATGGGTGTTTCTTCTTGACCTAGGAATTATACAACCTGTCTGTATTTTTCCAAAATATAGAATTTCAGTCTTTAGGTTTTTTTATAGTGTTATTGCTGTGTCCCCCCCTTATAAATTATTCAACCTTGTCTAGTCAAAATGAAAACAATGTTGTTGGGAGTAAATAAACCCAATAGCGTGACAAAGGTTCATGTTAGGTATATTGTCAATGGTCAAGCTTAAGATAGTAATAAAGAATAATTATAAGTAATATAAGTATACATTTATAAACTCCCCCTTGTTGGTATACACATAATAGCTTGTCAGGTAGAGTGTATAAAAAGACTTGGCTTACTAAAGCAACGCTAACTAGAACCACAGCTTTGTAAGTGAAAGCAAGAATGTAATAGCCACCACTCACATTCATATCTGTAGCTGAAGGAAAGCATCTACTAGAAGGCCGCGGTTTAATCGTTGCCACTCTTGAGTCCATAGTTACATTGTCTGCAATTCTGGATGGCTTGGAAACCGGTACAATTTCATCCACTTTATCTGTAACATAAAAGTATTCACTAAAATAAATATAATTTGTCCTAAGACTGAAAAATCTAAATATTGCAAGGTCAAAGGAAGAGTTTTACTTTTCAAAAAAATGCAAAGAAAAAGGGTGGCTTTTTTTTTTGGCATTTTAACAAGGCAATGCTTGAGCATCAAAAGTCGTGCAAGCCGAGCACTTATTTATTGCTGCTGCGTAACATGCATGCTTTAGTTTTAAGCCTGCATGCATTTAATGTTTACTTAGTGTGACTCGAAAAACAATCCTCTTCTTCAAACCTTCAAAATGTGAAGGGAGAATATCTATATAGAAACGGAAAGAAGACCTTTAGAGATAAGGAACCCATAGAGCACTGTTTCACATAGCGATAAGCAGACAGTACCTAGTCACCAGAATTTTAGTGATATTTTGGACAATAACAAGTAATTCAAAAGTGCTCTTTTTGTCTATTCTTCAGTAATTACTTTCTAATCTATTCATCATGTCAGTCTATTAGACAAGATAACTTGGCATTATTGGAAAATGCTCTGTCTCTCTCTCGTTAAACTTAAAATTTGCTTTATATTAATTTTGGTTAAAACAATCATTTATTTATGGTCAGAAATGGGCCCAAGAGGTAAAGCTCCAGTCTGGATCAGAACTTTTCCAACAAACAGTTGTTCATAACTGGGATTTTGATTCAGCATGCTATGTAGTGACAGGAACCATCTGTGAGTTCCCTTAAAATTCAGGCGTGTTCTGAATCACTATCTTCAATTGTGATTTCCAACTAAATGCAGCAGTAATACTATTTTTAAACACTAAGATAATGCCTTAAATCCAAGGATTTCAAAGCACTATGCTATCAACCAAAGGCTTATAGCTCCTTTACGAGATATTGGAAAACTGAGGCACAGAATAGTCTTAATTACTTGCCTAAAGCCACTGAGTGATTTAGTCGCTGAATTTGGACTAGAATCCAAACTTATGTTCTAACCAAGAGTCTTCCTCACTGCCCCTTTCAACCTATCTTTTGTTCCTGTGAACTCTCAAACTGCAAACTGGCACTATATGTACAACCCACAGACTGGAAGTTATTCTAAGTTAGGATGGCATTTTTCTATTTAATTTCTCCTAATCACTAGGGCACCAGTCACACAACCTATGAGTATTCATAGAAGTAATGCACTAGAATCAATTAGAAGTGATTCTTTAGCCTAGCTGCTCTTCTTGTCTTAGGCTTCCAGAAATGAAATTTTCCAAGGATTAGTCAAGCCAAACCTTATTTTTCAGGAGTTAAGTATGGTATATCTGTATCTCAAAAGGTTTATTAATTTTGTTTAAAGAGGGAAAAAAAGACTAGTTCCTTAGGTCATTACTGACTTAAAAACAGCTGTCCAGTGGTCTAGAGGTGATACCACTATGCAAAGTATCAGATTTGAGCTTGATCCCTCATGGGAAAGCAGCCACACTAAGACTGTGGGAAGGGACAGGAAGTAGGAAGAGGAAGAGTGATTTGTCTCTCCCTAAACAGAGGCTCTGGCAGAAATGGAGGAACTACATTCAGCCTTCTCCGGTTGGGAAGACTTATTCTGGGAGAAGAGACTTTTGGAGCACTGGATGACGGTGAGAGCAGGAGAAGAACAGCTGCTAGAATCATTAAGTTGAACATGGTAGGTGGTTAGCTAACTCAGAAGTGTTATCATCTGCTTTCCACTGGAATTAGTATTACATTTTTGTTTATTTCTTTTTGCATAATAGACCATCCAGGGGAAGGAGAGAAAAAAAACCCACACGCTTAAAACCTTCACAGGCAAATAAACATTTTTTAAAAAATACATTCCATATGGTCTTAACAATAATGCAAACTGTGCAGTTTTCAGAAGAAAATACTTATAACCTTCTGATGGACAAAAGGTATCAGAATTAGATGGATTTAGCCTTTAGCATTTGAACTACACAGAAAAAAATAAGGTTAGGTTGCAGAAGTTTAGGTGTCGCAACAAGGGCATGAGAATTTCGTATTACATCTCTCCTGCCCTTTATATGATCTTAAAAGACCAAACGCTTGTTATTGGGATCCAGAGAAAAGGGTTTTGGGGGACTGAAGCCCTTAATCACCCAAAATCTGTAAACAACAAATATACCATATAAAAACATATTCCCTTTTTATTTTGAACAGACACAATCATAACACCTATTCAG